GAAAATTCTAATATGTAAAGCCTATGAATGTACCCTTAGAAAAAATATACGAAATGTTAATTGTTGGGAAAACGGTTAACAGTGATTATCTCTGGGTGGTGGGACTATTCAGAAAATAATTTTCTTTCAGAAAGTAGAAAGGTTGAAAGTAAAAAGGCTGTTGCCAAGATCTGGGGAGAGTGGAGAGAGACAATTAGTGTTTTAACAGCCATAGAGTTTCATTTGCAAGATGAAAGTTCTAGATATCTGTTGCACAGCAATGTAAATGTACTTAACATGACTAAACTGTACACTTAAAAAGGATTAAAATGGTAAATTTAATGTTATGTGTTTTTTATCAGAATAAAAAAATACTTTTCTATGGCAAACAATATTTTTATGTTTAAGAAAGAAAATCAATGAAAGGTGTTCTTTGATTTTTAAGTGAAAATCTTACTATGGTTAGTTGGTGTCGCTTTTTGTATTTCTATAGTTTACGGAGCCCTGACCGCCCATTGGAGTTAACAGGATAGCAGTGAGTCTTCCTAAGTAGAGTGGGGTCCTTTTATTTGTTCCCCACCCCGCCCCGCTCCCAGCTTCCTATTGAGAGAAAACACAAGCTACAAAAGAGGGGTATGACCAAAACTGTTTGCTTTGTCTGTTTTTCCTTCTGATTTAGGTTCAGTTGGCTACTGAATGAGGGTGGATATAGCAGCCCCTGCTCCCTTCACACTCCTGGGTCCTAAATTTTCTGCATCAGCTGCTGCATTTGCAGCCCGCCCTCCACAGTCCCATGCTGCTGACCATTCTTTGACCTGTAAACCTGAGTCCGAGCCAGCCGGGTTGAGACAGAGGAGGCTGGGCAAGTGATCTCAGAGAGGCTGTTTTGTCCTCGCCCTGCGGTCACTTCCTGGGCTCAGGTCTCACCAAAAAAGACAAGTCCCCCTGAAAGACAGATGAGGGACATGAACAGGTAATTCACAAACCACGAAGAGCCTAATAGATATATGAGAAACAACCACCCTCACAAAAATAAAAAGAGCAGAAACACTTTAATACCATTTTTTTTTCCTGCCAATCAATTTGGCAAAGATTTTTTTAGAAAATCATTTCCAAGGTTTGCAAACAATAGGAAGGTAATCGACCTTTCTGAAAGCACGGTGGCAGTGCATATCAAGAAACGTAAAACTGTTCATTCTAGAATAGACTATTCCGTAAAATGTTCAGGAAAATTCAGGAATTTAGTATGAGGTAAAGGTGACATTTCAAATTAACAAGGAGAAAGACATCCATTTCTGGCAATATTGAAATCAGTATGGCCTAGCAAATCTTCAGTTACAAAAATATTTAGAAATGTTGGATAAAATATAGCAAAATGCCTGAGGTCCAAAGATAAAAAGGAACTGCCCCAGGGGCCAAACAGTAAGAAAGCCAGTGACAAAGGTGGGCTGACACTTTTCGCTGCTCTGGATTATTCGAACAATCTATGCCTCCTGTTTTAACATCCAGGTGGGGACAGGACACCAAGGCTTTAGTCTGTGTGGTTTTGCGGGTAGAAGAGTTGAACCTGAGTCTCATATGTAGCTGGGATCCTTGAAGTCTAAACCAAGTCTAAACCTTGAGTGGCAAAATCAGTCACAATAGCTTCTACAAGAACATTCCATTTTTGCTTGGCTTAACTCTTGCTGAGGCCAGTATCAAGAAGGGTTTTAACCTTTGAGATTCTGTCCATCTGGACAACTCCTGCTGTAACACCCAGCTGATTCTCTGTGTTATCCTTTGAGCTGAGTATGTTGTCCTGACAGATAGTATGAACTCCCAAGAGGTTGTCAAAATCAGATGTATTTGTATATTTCTTCTTCCTTATAGCCTATTCGTTGATTAATGTGGCAGGTCTATCAGTATTTGAAATGTGGTTCTACTTCTAGGAAACTAGCCCACAAATGATAAGATACTTACCAAAATTCCCGGTCATAAATAACAATTGTGTTCAATATGATTTATTTGTAACAGAAAAAAAAAAAAACGGAAGCCTCCCATGTCCAAAACGGTAGGATGGTTAAACAAACACTACATAGTCATTAAAAGGAATAAAGTTGATCTCAATGTATGAAAATGGAAAGAATGTCCACACAATGTATTATTAAGATTTTTAAAAAGTAAGCTATAGAACATTGTTTAATAGAAACAAAATGCAAACAGAGTAATTTTAAAATTTCTAGTAGAGATATTTTAAATGTGAAAAGAAATAGGTAATTTTAATAACATATTTTATTTCACTCAATATACCCAGAATACTAAGCAAGTAATCAATATAAAATGATTGATGAAGCATTTTACATTATTTTTATATATGTATTTCACACCAACAATACATCTCAATTCAGACAAACCACATTTCAATTACTCAATAGTCACTTATGACTAGTGCCTATAATAAGAGAAAGTGCAGCTATAGAACAAATGTACAGACATTTCTTAAAAACTCCAAGACCAGCTACATAAGCATTGTTTAGACATAGAAAACACTTGTAAAGATACACAAGAAATGGGTAAAGTGGTTATCTCTGTGGATGGGATTGTGAGAAAAGAAGGTGTTCAGGGTGTAGTTTATCAACATCTATATCTGAATTTATCGTATGAGGCTATATCATCTTTTAATTACTAATAAAACTAACAGTAAAAAATGTTTATTCTCTTCAATGCAATAAATCAATGTATAGAAAAATTTATCTTAAGGGAATAATAAAATATGTGAACCAACATTTATGTACAGTACTTCTTTATGATGGAATGTTTCTTGTAACATGGGAAACTATTCATGATACAATTTTAAAATAAAATGTACAAAGTGAAAACTGTCCAAGCAAATCGAAACATATGTTCACACAAAAACTTGTATACAAAGGTTAATAGCAGCATCATTTGTAATAGCCAAAAAGTGTACACAACTAAGTGTTCACCAGCTGATGAATGAATAAACAAATGCGGTATATCCATACAATGGAATATTAATCAGCCATAAAAAAGGAATGAAGTACTGATATAAGAACAACATGCATGAACCTTAAAAACATTGCTAAGTGACAGAAGTCAGATACAAAAGGCCATATATTGTATGAATCCATTTATATGAAATGCCAGGAACAAGTAAATCCATAGAGACAGTAGGTTTGTGGTTGCCGGGGGCTGGGAGGAGGGGAGAGGGGAGCGACTACTTGATGAAAATATTTTGGAGTTAGATGATGGTTATGGTTGCACAACATTGTGAGTGTACCAGAATCCACTGAATCTTCCGTTTGGAAAATGATGAATTTTTTGTTAATGTAAATTTTATCTCACTTTAAAAATTATGTGTGTAGAACAAAATCCCAACTTTATGGGGAAAAAATAAGACATATCAAGTGTGGTGGTGGGGTTCTAAATGCTTTTACTTTTTTTCTGATTTTCTCCAGTACCCATATATTATATTTTAAATGAAGGGCGGTAGAATAAGAATATTTTGAAAAGGATAGTCATCTCTCTTGACAGATGCGTAAAGGGCGGCCCTGCCCAGCTTCTGAAGTTCACTGCTATCTATATACCGTTTAACTACATTCACTAAATCAAATAAGCTATTTGACTTCTGCTCTGGGGTGCCAAATAACAGAGCTGATGCAAGCCTTTCCTTTTGTGTCTCTACATGTTGTAGAGATAGGGCTGTGTATTCACCTTTTGAAACAGGGCTCTAGCTTCAGAATTTAAATTCCCTTTTAAATTTTCTTTGCCCTGACTGGCTTCCTGCCCTTGCCTGATGCTTCTGCTGCTCCACTGGTAAGATAAGGTGGTAAATGCTTACTTCCCTGGAGTAGGGAAGAGAATGCATTAAATAAGTTCTTCTAAGCACTGAGAGATGGGAGGTCCAGCAAAACAAAAGATTATTCAACCCCACTGGAGACTTGAGTCACCAGAAAGTAGGTAGAGAAGAAAGAATTTATGTAACAACTCTTCCTCTCCCAATAAAGAAACAGATAGAAACTGAGCCACAGGGTCACCAAGGTTTCTCTTAACTCTTGAGTGGGCAGCATTTTTCATAGGCTCACTGGAACGCCGAGATCTCTGCTATGCTTGCTTGGTGACGTCGTTTTGTTTAGATCTCGCCTGACAGCTTATTCTTCCAATAATTCCATAGCAGGCAAGTGAAGGAAAATTCACAGTATAAGGATAAAATTGCAGAGATTTCGGTTGCCTAGAAGACCCTGTACTTTTAAGATATTTATTGAGTGGGCCTTAATTTACTTCAACTGCCCAGTTTGTTCTGACTGGAGTAGAATTTTATAGATCGACAGGGTCCAAAATGTAGGTAGTAAATAAACATGTCATGGAACAAGTCATAGAGTATGATCCCATCTGCGTTTTGAAAATCTATATCTATATACCAGTGAATGTATCTATGTATCTATCTTCTCTGTGTTTATTTATATATTTATGTATCTATGTATTGCTGGCTGGCTGGCTGTCTATCTATCTATCTATCTATCTATCTATCTATCTATCTACCTACCTACCTACCTACCTACCTACCTACCTATATCATCAATCTATCTACCTACCTACCTACCTATCATCTCTCTGTCTTGGTAAATGGAGAGCAAAGGCCAAATTATTACCACTGTTTACGCCTGAGAGTGAGAATGGAGTGTACAGAGAGCGAAGTGCAAGGAAGCACTTCCACTTTTTACTTTGTACATTTTTGTACTGTTAAAATTTTAATAGGTTGTTTTGTGACAACAAAAATCAATAAAAATTACCAACTGTTATCATAACTACCCCTTTGACAGTCCTCTCCAACATCTCACAAAGTACTCAGATAGAGTTAACAGAGAGAATTCTAGGTGTTTGCAGTGAGGACAAAATCCTAATTTGGCCAGTGGGGGTGGGGGTAGGATTGAGTGAGAAGCAGTAAAAAAGTGAGGAAAAGAGAGGAAAGAAGAGGGTTGGCTGCCCAGTTCTCATCCTAACCAATAGCACAAATGTTTCAGGTCCAACGCCCATTTTTGGAGACTATTTCAGGAGTCAGGAATTGCATCTGAGTTCACTCTCACTTGTCAAAGAACTAAGACAGTTTTCTGGTTTGGCTACTTGGAGGCTGCTTCTCCTTTACTTGGAAGGTAAAATCTCAAGCCTCGGCTAATCTGGTGGTGGCGATTGGGGTGTGTGCCTTTTCCATTGTGGTGTGTTGACTTCTTTTTCCACAGGGCAGAAAGATGCTTATGGGATACAGCTTTTTTTTTTTTTTTAATCAATGATAGTATTAACATTAAATTTCTAAGAATGTGAAATGATTCTTCCTGGCTCTTGTTCGCAGAAGGCAAGATTCAGTCTGTCGAAATGTTAATGAGATTCTTTCGTAGACAGACACTGCATGGGAAAGAGAAAACACATATGCTTTGAATGTTTAATTGTTTTAATGCCATTTCCCCTTGGTTTCGCTGAGAGCATGATTAAACTTTTATGTGGTTTTAGGGTTGTACAAAGCAAATCTCATAGTAAATTATTCAACAGAGTGCTCTCTACTAACATTTGAGAATGGGTTCTCGCTTTATTTTCCATCTCAAAAAAAAAGTCTTAATGCTCCCCCCTCAATTCATAACAAAGCTACTTCACATGAGAAAGCAGCAAAAACAAAAAAACAAGTTTGGAAAGAGATGTCCAATGAAATGATCCTGATGTTAAGGTCCAAATATAATCACCCGGGATGGTGCTAAGTTCTTAGTGTCAGGGGGACCTCTTTCGTTCCCTCACAGACTTCACTAGTGATGGACAGCAAAGGTGACCTCCCCTCCATTCTGGATGTGCACGTAAACATTAATGGAAGAAGCTCCGTGTCTGAAAAAGTGAAAGGCAGAAAGCCCAGATGGTCTGTGAGGCCCTCGGACATGGCCAACAGAACTTACAATCCCATCCGGGCCATAGTGGACAGCATGAAGATGGAGCCAAACCCAGACAAAACCACGATTCCCCTGTCCATTGGTGAGCTGAGGACGTTGGGCTGGCGGTGGTCATTATTCCCCTCATCTCCGCCCTCATGGGCTGGTTGGAGAAGATGGGATTGGAGGGTGAATCTGAGCACTGGATGTGGAAGGATAACTTCTTGGTGGCTTTTTTTTTTTTTTTCCATTTCTCCCATGAAAAGGGGACCCTACTCTGTGTGGAAACCTGCCTACAGACCCAGAAATTATCAAAGCATTGAAAGATGCCCTGGACTCGGGGAAGTATAATGGCTACGCCCCCAGTATTGGTAAGCTCTTCCCGAGATTCTATCTGGTGGCTTCTAAATCTTTAATCCAAGAGGAATAAATTTCTAGCAGTTCTTCTTGTTTTCCTGATGCATAGTTCCTAAGGAGAGGCCAAGATAAAATGCGCCATTGGGATTTGGGGAAAGGGGTCTTAGGATGCTTAAATACAAGCTTTGAGGTCCAACTTCTTTCCTGAATTTCTTTGGCATACTGACATTTCCCCTCTAGGATCTCATCATATACTTATTTCTCAAATAACGCTCCTATCCTGTTGTTACTAGGTAATTATCAAGCAGAGGCCTTCAATCTGGCTGTAGCTGCTTGTTTACTGAGCCTGCCAGGTCCTAAATTAATTTACTTATTGTAGGCAGGTTTCCAATATAAATAGCTCCTTGGCTTTATTTTTCCTTCTCTGTATAGTCAAGGCTTATTTTAATTACGGTCCTGATGACACTCCCAATGAAATTGTAATAGTTTCAGATTAAAGAAGCAAAAACAACAAGAACAACAAAGAATAGGCTGTTCTATTGAAGAATAGAAGGTTGTTTCTGGCAGAAAGAACTTATTCTTATTTAAGTTTAACTCTTTCCATCTTTTAAACATTTCTACCCTGGACATTTGGGTAAAATAAATGATTCCTTGATTTTGTTTCAGTGTTGCACATTTTTCTCTTGTCCATATGTGTACACAGAAACATATTCTTAATGCAGAATAAAAATTCATTTTTTAATGCTCAAGTAGAATTTCAAAAACACTTCAAAAAGGTATCAGGGACACGGTTTTTAGGTTGATTCTTTACATTTTATAAAGTTGCATAAACAAAAATTGAAAAAAAATAAGACGAAAAGTTAGGTTATAAAAAAAAAGTTTATAATGGCTTTTATAACCAAAGTATTAGAAAATTGATTCAACCTGAGAAACCAAAACCAAATCTCTTAAATATTCAAAGGATATGAACACTCATGCTGAAGCAAAAAGATAATAATATACGGTATATCTCAGAAAATGCTCTTCATCATTAGTAATTAAGGAAGTACTGATTTATATTATATAATTTCAAGAGACCCATCTCTACCTATTAAGTTAACAAACATTAAAATACTGCCTCTGGCTTCGCTAACTAAAGACAATCTTTCAAGAGCAGTTTTGCCAAACTTGATTGTTTGCTTGAAACTATCTGTACTTCAAGTTTGTAAACCGATATTTGGAAATATTGGATGAGAATATGATTTAAAAGGAAAAATTTATACAAAAACACTAATAGATATATAATATGAAAAATAGACACAATGGATTGAACTCATTGATTACAACTTTTCAAAAAATATAGTCCCTGGAAGAGATTTGAGAATAATCTAAATTCCATGTTTTATGGAAAATAAACACCTAATCATAGTAACCAAGATGGTGCACTGCTTTTTATAGTTTGGGGAGCTCTTTCTTGTTGTTATTTATACACTTGTGTTTATTATAAAATTATCAAATATGAAGTTAATCTCCTTTATTTACAGTACCTGAGAGCTAAACTGAATAGTATATGCTCTAGCAGGGACAAAAGGAAGCCTGAATCCCTGCTGACTCTATAGCAGAGTGGTCAGTTGTGGGATGAAAACGTCCAGCTTCTTCCTTCTGCTGCTTCTTTTAGGTTACCTATCCAGTCGGGAAGAGATTGCTTCTTATTACCACCGTCCCGAGGCACCTCTGGAAGCTAAGGTGAGCCTTAGGCAAGGTACTGGCTTTGAAGCAATACTGAGTTGGGCAAACTGTACCCTTTTCCTTATTTCTCTCCCACAGGGAATAAGTGTTTCAAGGGGAACAAAAGCTGAAGATAATTTCCCTTTAGCAATTTGCAGACTTCTTATATAGTGAGGCCACTGATTAGTGATTATATTTAATGTCATTACAGTGTGATAATAATGTAGCTTATGGCTTATATTTTGTCTGTCTTAAGGCGGCTCAGAGAACTCAGAGGTCACCCTGTATTTGATTCTCTTCCATCATTGGAAACAATAATTCATAAACACCAAATAATTAAAATTTTTTATTTTACAAATAGGATCTTTTAAAACTTTGTAGCTTCCCTCATTCACCTTAAGGTCACTCAGATGGGCAGATTGAGGTACTGTGGCATATTGAATTGATGGCAATGCCAAGTTTAAATGCCCTCACCTCTATTTTCTACTGCGTGAGGTTGACATTTCTTAACATAAGGGGTGCCCTTCATCTGTATTTCAGAGAACAGTCGTACTTCAAATGTCTGGTCAAGAGTAAATAAATAACCAAGCAAAAAAAAAAAACCAAGGTCATAACGATCTCTCATGGAAGTTGGCTGAGTCACAGCTGACCCAACCTTTTTTAAGTGGTTTGTTTATTTCTTTTAAGTGGCTAACATCTTCAACAACCTTTAGATATGGACATACATAAACATATGAATTTCTTTCATTTTTGGCTTAGTACAGCCCCTACAATACATAGAATTCGTAAAAGTGAGTTTCTTTTGCTCCCCACTCAGTATCTGACAGTCTCTTTTCTCCTGTTGCTGTTGGAACCCCTATCAAAACAAACCTTTTGTTTTTTTTTCGTCACAGGATGTTATTCTGACAAGTGGCTGCAGTCAGGCTATTGAACTTTGTTTAGCTGTGTTGGCCAACCCAGGGCAAAACATCCTAGCCCCGAGACCCGGTTTCTCGCTCTACAGGACTTTGGCTGAATCTATGGGGATTGAGATCAAACTCTACAATTTATTGGTAAATGACTTTTTAATTTTAGACACAAATGCTGAATTACTACTTCATAAAAATATATTAGCATTATCTTAGCAGAGAAAGATCTAGAAGTAGATGGTCGAGGCCACAAATATATTTATTTGTGTTACACCATTAGGTGAGTATTCCTCCTAAATTTTTCAGAATCATCTTAATCTTCCCTTTTCTTCCTCCCCAGCCAGAGAAATCTTGGGAAGTTGACCTGACACAATTGGAATCACTGATTGACGAAAAGACAGCTTGTCTCATTGTCAACAATCCATCAAACCCCTGTGGGTCAGTGTTCAGTAAAAGTCACCTCCAGGATATTCTGGCTGGTAAGTCCTGTGGACTTCACTTGATAGGGATGGAGATGGGGATGGAATCCTTTAGCCATCTCCTGAAATAGGAAAAGAGTCATCACTAAGTTCCAAGCCTATGATGGAGGTGGGGGAGCTCCACTGGGGTCTCTAGTGAACAGTGTGCCACTAGAATGATAGTACTTGCCTAAAAGAAGAAGAAAAAGAGATAATATTTGCCTCTTTACCACTGTCATCATGTAGAAGAGAAGGTTTAAAAGACCTAGTTACTTAAGTGGCAAATTTAAGCCTTATACCCTAGAAGAGTATAGTAAGAATATATAGGATTTTATTTTATTTTATTTATTTTATTTTATTATTGTAAATGAGATTGTTTCCTTAATTTCTTTTTCTGATAGTTCATTATTGATGAATACACATGCAATCGATATACACACACACACAAGCTGGAAATAATCTTATTGCCTCCTGCACAGACTACATTTTATACTTAATGGTTTTAGCATTTATTTTTATTTTTTATTTATTTTATTTTTATGCGAGGCAACCCTTGACTTGACTTCACAGATTGCAAGGACCTTGTCAGCTTACAATTCCTTATTTTCATTTTTTAATTTTTTTACTTTTTATGCCTATAGCACTTGGTCTTCCTAGGTGGTCTCCTATCCAAGTACTAACCAGGCCCGACCCTGCTTAGCTTCCGAGATCAGATGGGATTGGGCTTGTTCAGGGTAGTATGGCCGTAGACAAATATGTAGTTCTTCAAGAAGACAAAACACAAAAACATGAAATGCAAAGTACAGTAAGCTCAGGTAAATATTATGTGCAATGGCAAAAGTGATTTCAGCATGTTTCTCTTATTTTCAGTGGCTGCAAGGCAGTGTGTCCCCATCTTAGCCGATGAGATCTATGGAGACATGGTGAGTCTTGGGCAGGATATGATAATCTCAATTTCAGATTATTTCATGGGACCTTTAGAGATGGCATCTAAATAATTAGAAGCAACTCCTAATTATTTCGGTGCAGCAAATAAATATCCCTGCACTCTTCACAAATATATATATAGATCTACAACTACTCAGCTAGCTGTCTGAAATCCAAAAGCTATGAAAATATGAAGATTTTTGGAATTCATTTGGTGGCAATACCTGGCTTGGCCTGATATAAAGATATTTGTAGACTTTTATTTTTTCCACGTATGGACCTGTATGAGACATTGGCATGCTTGATTACGACTGCTGTCCAGAGAGCTTTGCGGTGTTACATGACATATGGTGCACATGCTATAGCACCTTTCTAAAATCCAAATAATTCTGCATTCTGTAATATATTTGGACCCAAGAATTTCAGATAAGTGATTGCGGACCCATATTTTATTTTTAAATTTATAGTCATTCATTCTCTAGTGCTGGCTGCAAGGGGTTGTACACATTACCAGGGCTAGGATCAGTTTCTTCATTTTAAGTTTCCTTTAATCCAGACTCAACACCAGGTCAAAAGCCTCTGGATAGTCTCCTTTGAAGCCTCTTGGGATCCCAGTCATGCTTCAGTGTAGGAATGAGCCCTTAAATCTGAGGCCCTGTACCTAGTGGTATAAGGAAAAGGGCAGGAGCCATGGGACTTGGAGGACGGTAAGCAAGAAGACAACTACAATAAGCTCCTCTTCTCCTCAGGTGTTTTCAGATACCAAATTTGAGCCTATAGCTACTCTCAGCCACAACGTCCCCATCCTGTCCTGTGGAGGGCTGGCCAAGCGCTGGCTGGTTCCTGGCTGGAGGTTGGGCTGGATCCTCATCCATGACCGAGGAGACATTTTTGGCAATGAGGTAAGAGCACCATGGTATGTCAAATTCAGGATATATATTTACTTCGCATACACAGTGGTTAGGAGTTTGGTTTTTTTTTTCCTACTTCTTCTTGGCCCTGTAGTTCTGGGTGCCTAGAAAGATGCTAGATAACGGTAGTACTACTTCCTCTCTAAACTCAGGTTTCCTTTACCCAGCTCTGTGAAGAAGCTCCATCTGCCTCGAATTTTAGGGCCACAAAAAGGGAAATGATAGCAGTAATATACCTAATATTGTTTGCAGGTGTACAATGTGCCAATGCTTTATGTACACTATTTTAATTTAATCCTCCTAACAACTCTGTGAGGCCTGTATTAGTATTATCTCCATTTTACGGTCAAGAAAAATGCGGCACAGAGAAAGTTGTATAATTTTCCCAGAGTCACACAACAGGTGTGTAACAAAGCTAGGCTGCAAACCCAGGTGGTCTGATCTAAGAATGCCAGAAGGTACCATCACTTCCCCAGAGATTTATAAACTGATAGAAAGAATGGCCATAGCATTAGTTCCCAAATCCAGGATGCTTAAGAAAGGCTAAGTAATGTGTTTGCTGGGGGCTTTTAGATCCAAAATGGGCTGGTGAAGCTGAGTCAGCGGATCATGGGACCCTGCACCCTTGTCCAGGGAGCTCTGAAAAGCATTCTGCGTCGCACCCCTCAAGAGTTCTACCGCAACACTTTAAGCGTCCTCAAGGTAAGGGCAGCCTGTGGCCTTCTGCTTTGGAAGTCAGAGAATGCCACCAGGGGAATTAATAATAATAGGTCCTCATTCCTGGAGCAATGTTCCATGATAGTGCTTCTCAAATCAGGAAGTAGCATCAGTGCAACTATCTGCCCATACATTTCTCTAACTTCTGGCAATTCACTCTGCTCCTGGCCAAAAGCTTCATGTGGCAGGGTTTTTTTCTTGTTGACTCCTTCTGCCAGTAGGGCAAACTTAGGTTTCTTACCTTTTGTGGGTTCTCCTTTTAATAACTTGTTTTTTCCCCTCTTACTTAACTTTTAATCCTTGATATCTCTCTGCCTCCTCTTGTAGTCCAGTGCTGATCTGTGCTATGAGGCATTGTCTGCCATCCCTGGACTCCGGCCGGTCCGCCCTTCTGGGGCCATGTACCTTATGGTAAGACTGTGGGTGGCAGGTGCTTCTGGTAATGGGAGGCGGGGCGGGGGTTGGGGGTCGGGGAAGCCAGCCTGCAGGGCTCACAAAGAGCTAGACTCCTGAGCATCATTTTAGGAATTATTTTGTTCTGAGTTGTTCCTCCGACATGATCTAAGCTCATTGTTAAACAAAACAAAAACAAATTGGGAATTAATTACTTAATACAGAGAATGTACAATCTTTATGTTGAAAGCAAAGAGGCCAGTGCAGCTGGAATATATTGATGAGGGCGTCACCTGGGAATGATTCTGGTTCCCTAAGGGGGTTTGGGAATGTCCGGGGAATTTTGTTTGTTTTCAGAATGACTGGGGGATGCTGTCGGAGTTTTGTGGGCCAGGCATGCTAAATATCATGCAATGGATGGGATCGTTCCATGCAATCAAGAATTGCCTGGCCCACAATGCTAACAGTGCCTTTTTTGAGAAACACTGGCATTCTATTTCCAGCTTTCATTTATCAGCGTCCAGGAAGGAAACCTTCAATAAACTAAAATATTAATATAAATATATTCTCTTTCCTACAAAAAATCCCATGAGCTCATAAGTGCTAGAACTTACTTACCAAATTAGTCATTAGTTGTAGACTTTCAAGATATTTCTTAAAGCAGTCCCTACCTTAATTTCTGGTATAGGGAGTTGGCCTCTTTTTCCTCCTTCTGATAAGTTTGCTTCTCTCTGTTATTGATATAGGTTGAAATTGAGATGGAACATTTCCCAGAATTTGAGAATGATGTGGAGTTCACGGAGCAGTTATTTGTTGAGCAATCTGTCCTCTGCCTCCCAGCAATAGTGAGTGCTTATGTCTCTCTCAGGATGCTCTCAACAGTTCCTAGAGCCTCAGGAGCTCCCCCTGAGCTGGTCTTTAGCCTGACTTCTCCCCCAGCAAAGTGTATTCTCGCTCGATAGGATTCAAACTGACGGGTCTCGACTTCTATTTAAAATTTGTTTCTCCCCATCATTATGCCATCCATATCCAGAAGTAAAGGTGTGGCCAAATGTTCTAGGAGAGGGGAAGTCAGGCTTGTCCCACAAGTTCTTTTTAAGATGAATTAACTCAGTTATTGACATAGCACCTCATTGACTGGAACTGAGTGAATCGATAGCCCTAGTAAATGGTGTCACTGCTTCTTGCTGATGAGGGCGCTGGCCATTTTAGGGTGGTCCAGTATCAGACTCGATTGCTCTGAGAATAACAAGCTCTTATTTTTGCAGTGCTTTGAGTACCCTAATTTCTTCCGAGTGGTAATCGCAGTCCCCAAAGTGATGATACTGGAGGCCTGCAGCCGGATCCAGGAGTTCTGTGAGCAGCACTACCATCATGCTGAAGGCATCCAGGAGGAGTGTGACAAATAGGCCTGAGTCTATGCTCCCGAGTATGTTGTATCCAGGAAGGGCTGCACTGGGCTCTGCTGTTCCTCAGGGCTTCAGGTGCCCCTACTGGGAGAGGGGTCTCAAAAACACATCGAGGTTCAGAATTGCCCCTGCCTACCCCCAGATATATCCATATACACACTCTGAATCCCAGATTCGCCTCTCCCTCTGCTCTGCTGGAGTGACTTACTCATTCATTAATTTGCCACCCACGACTGTTTTTCTCAGTAATGGGCTTCGGTTTTGTTTCATTCTCCAGCTTCTCTCCCCAGTCCGCACCCTGTTGCGATTCTCTTCCTCCTTTGTGCCTTATTTGAGCCACATCCAGCGGGAGGCTTCCAGGAAATCGACAAATCATCCCTAGGTATTTGTAAACACCTGTTAACCTTTTCCCAGCTCTGGGGCAGTCCTGTCGAATCCAATGACTTGTGAAACAGAAGCAGAAATTCCTAGTAACTGTTGTCAATTTCCGAAAGTATGATCCCTGGAACTTTTCCCCAAAGAATCGTGTCTTTCATGTTCTCAGGTACCTGGCATATATGTTCAACTGTCTCTCAGCAAGAAAAGGCTATGCTGCACACACTAGGCATATACATTACTACACAGGAGAAGCCTATATTTTAAGTACCTTACAGGTTGAATTATCGAATCTGTTGGTGGACTAAATTCCTGGTACATCTTATTTATACTCTTATTTATTTAAAAATTTAGGTGTATTAACAAACAAGTTTATTTAAAAATTTAGGTGTATTAACAAACAAGTTTATTTATTTAAAAATTTAGGTGTATTAACAAACAAGTTTCCTATACCACCTATACCAGTATCATGGCATCTGCAAATCCAGATGTTCCCTATGGGTCAAATTGTACAGCACCTTCCAAAGAAGCAGCCACTCTGACAGTCAGTTGAGAAATGTTACATAGGAGGTGGTGCCAGTCTGCAAAAACAATCAGAAGTAGCAAGCGTGTCTTAATTTTTGTTAATGTTTCAAGCATGTCTCTCTTGAAACATCTACTTACTGATAACTGAAATTCAAAGTGTATTACAAAATTCAAAGTACATTATGCTGTATTAAAAAATAAAGCTACTGGGAGTTTTTGCTTTGGCAGTGCATATACTAAAATTGGAACAATACACAGAAGTTGAACATGGTACTAACAATCCACATTCAACAGCTTATAAAAAGATTAAGCATATTAAAAAGATTTTTTTCCTGGAATGCAAGAATGGTTCAACATATGAAACATCAATTAATGTGGTATCCCACAATAATAGTATGAATGACAAAAACAATATGATCATCTCAAGAAAAAAAAGTTGTTTTTTTTTATCTGTGTGAGATGATGGATGTTAACTAAACTTATTGTGGTAATTATTTCACAGCGTATGTAAGTCAAGTCCTTATGCTGTACACCGTATGCATGTCAATTATATCTCAATTAAACTGGAAAAAATTTAAGCTATGAAAATGTAAACTTTATGAGGGCAAGGATTTTTTCATTTGTTTTATTTTCTTCTATATGCTCAGTGCCCCGAACAGCCTCTGGCACAGAATAGGCACACAGTCCATATTTAATAAATGAAAGAATGAGAAAATACAAAGACTAATATATTGCCATTACTTTTTATCTTCTTGGTAAGTAAACTACAACAAGGAGATATTAAGATTAACTGCAGATATTACTAATGTAGAAGGAACGGTAAGAGAAGAAAGCATTTAGAAAGTTTACTTTCAAAGAGATGCAAAGAAGTGGTCAATAAACACTTGAAAAGTTGCTTAACGTCATTAGCCTTTAGGCAAATGCAAATCAAAATCACAGTGGGTTCACACCCACTACAATGGTAATAATAATAATAATAATAATAATAATAATAAATAAAATAAAACGATAACAAATGTTGGCCAGGATGTGAAGAATTAGAATGCTCCTGCACTGCTGGTAGAAATGTAAAATGGTTCAGCCACTTTGGAAGACAGTTTGGCAGTTTTTCAGAAAGTTAAACATATAGTTACCATGTGACCCATCAATTCCACTCTTAGAGAAAAGGAAACAAGAGAAATGAAAACTTATGTCCACATAAAACTTTTACAAAAATGTCTGTATCTGGCTATACTAAAAACCATTGAATGGTACACTTAAATGGGTGAATTGTATGTGAAGTCTATGTCAATAACACTGTTTTTCTTTTTAAAAGGTGCAAGGAGTTAGACTTCAGGAATATCAATTCAAATATTTGGCATTTAAAAGAATTTCAAATTTTTAAAAGAAAGATCACAGGCCCATAAAATTACCAGTTCATTTATCTATTCATGGTAGAGAACAGTAACTTTTTTTCATATTATCCACAAAGACTGTGACATTATTTCAGATACTAGCACTCTAAATATCAGAGATAACACCATTATTTATTAGGGAGTCCACACTTATAGGAATTACTTAGTCTTTAAAATTTCCTTGGGAACTGGAACTAGATAAGGTGACCTCATCATTATTGGTTCATTTCAGTGTACAAAGTGCTTATTTTTCCTGATTCTGACATGTCATAATAGAAGCATCAGTAAAGCATCAGTTGGGCTTCCACATGGGGAACAAAGAAGGGTAAAGCATCAGTTGGGCTTCCACATGGGGAACAATGAGAAATTTCTTTAAAAAAATCTGGGATGTTTATATAAATAGCAGAATTAGGTGGTATGCTACACTAGTGTTCTTTGAACTTTTTTGTTTATATGTTCTTTAAAATAATTTTGAATTCTGACTATGAAAAATTTAAATATATATAGAAGTATAAACAGTAGTATAATTAACACCCATATAGCCATCACCCATTATCAAGATTTTGCCATATTTCTTCTTTCCTCCTCTTTCTTGTTTTCTTTGTTGAGGGATTATGAAAGAAATCCTAGACACGTGTCATTTCCTCTCATCCACCTCAGTATGAATCTCTAAAAACATAATTTCTTAATCACAATGCCACATCCATCAAATAATCAGAAGTCTTCAGATGTCTCCAAAATGTCTTTTTACAGTTGGTTCATTCGGATTAGGATCCAAACAAGGTTCAAATATTACTTTTAGTTTTATATCTCTTAAGCCTCTCTTAATCTTTTTCATGCCGTTGACTGGTTGCGGAAATGGTTGTCCTATGAAGTGTCCCACATTCTAGATGTGTTTGTTTGCTTCCTTGTGGGGTCATTTAACTTGTCCCTCTAAACTCCCAATCTCCATTCAATGGAATTTAGCTCTAGAGCTTGCATTCTCAGCAGGGGAGATATTGGAAATTTCTCATTATTCCTTTTACCTCTTGATCTTGTATTTCTATTCCATTATTATTATCCCCCAATTTTATGTCAACATAATCTTTTTTTGTCCTTGAAAGTATCTTATTGATCATATTTCTTTGCAACAAAACTATGGACTGATGTGGCAGACTGCTAGATATTCTCCAATATACATTCTCTTCTTGTCCAATGTTAAAACTCCTGGGCTAGGTCCACTTTTCATGTGAATTTCTCAACTTGGGATCCCAGACCATTCAGGTAGAATACATCTGAACACCACACCCATGTGAAGGAATCCCTATGGTTACAGATTCTCACGGGAGAGTTGCTTTCTTCCCAGATGTCAGATCAAGGAAAAATATTTTTCAACTCATCCTTTCATTCACGCTTTCATGCAGCCTTTCATTGGAGGGTCCTGACTTCATGCAGTCTGAATTCTAACTTTTTGTCTTACATGGGCCGAAGGAGTCCTCTCCTAGTAAATTCCAAAGCCCATGGTTACTGAGACAGCACTAATGTAATCAAACTCTTATTATCCCGGTTTTCAGTCCCCTCTTTATTTATGCTCCTTGGGGAATTCCCTTACTCTCTTGCAAGTTTGTCTCTGAATCCGCAAACATGTTTGCTAGATTCGATCCAGCATGTCTAGGTGTTTTGAAGCCCAAACATTTTCACATTATCTAGCTTGTATTATTGCTGTAGAAATTTCCATACTTCATATAGCTCCCTCCAACTTGATGCTTCTTCCTTCCATTCCTTCCCCCTGGAATTCTTGTTCCATGGCAAAGACAATTCCCTTCCATTCCCCAATTCTTTAGAACAGTTCCTCTACCTCTTTGCCTTAACTATGACTGGGTTGTTCACCAGAGACACTGTCATCCTTACAGCCAATTCAAGTTACTTTTTTTCACATAGTCTAAATTCTAACTTCTTGTCCTTTTAGGATCTCTGTTCTCTCAGACACACAATAACTATGCTTATTTAAAATATAGGGTATATTACTTCATACTGTGTACTCTCCTTTGTTCACTTAGGGCCTCGACATGTTAGAAATTTCGATATTTCTCTGGATGACCTGGCCAATATACAATGATCAACATCAAGGCCTCTTGCCTCTCTCAAACCTGAAAAAGATATGAATCCTACCCATTATGGCCAACTTCTCCCACAGCCACACACGTCATCATTCTGAACTAGACTATTTTACTCACCACAACCTGCTCACCTATCAACTCTCTGACGAATTTACACCTTGACCCTTGACTTTTATTTAGCCTTCTAATCTCTCCACACTTTCCCTCTAAGTTCATTAACTCCCTTACACTGTTGCTTGTCTTTTTGTTTCTAGTATATACCCCTGGGGCAATGTTCACCCACATTCTTATAAGCCACTTCAACTTCTTAGCATCCTTATCTTTCTATAGTATCTACCCTGCAAAGTCTTTACCCGAAATTAATCTAATCCTGGACCTTTTCCATTTCTATACTTAATAATAAGGTAAATCAGTGCCCTTGGTACATGATCTCCAGCCTCGCCGGGCCCCTAGCACTCCTTTGACAATCCTTTTACAAATACTGGAGAGCACCTCCTTAGAAGCCTGGAGTTGAAAATGGCAGAGCCACGTGATGGAAGGAGCTTGAGCGCCTGCATTAGTTTGGAGAAGAGTCATTTACTGAACATGTTCAGCTTTATTTGAGCAAGAAAGAAACTTCAATTGTGTTTGAGCCATCAGACATCTGGGAATTTGTTATAGCAGCTACCATTATCTTAACTAATGTAATGAGAAACCATTTTGAAATTTTAATTTTCATCAAAATAGAAAGTTTTATTCAAAAATAGCAATATAAAACTTAATTCCTTTGTTTTAAAATACATCATCAATGATAGAATTTAAAATAGCACATGCCTGAATAGACATTTCTCCAAAAATGATACGCAATTGTCGAAAAGCTCATATAAAGATACTTGACATCATGGGTCATTGGAAATGAAAGTCTCATATATATATAGGCATATATATACTTACATATACTTATATATATTTGTATATTTATATAGAAATATATATGTGTGTATATATATGTGGGAATTAGGAGGCTTTCCATATGTGCACATAGAAATCTCTCTCTGTTTCTCTTCTGCTACATAGTATTTCATAATATGGTTATTCCAAAATTTTTGCCCATAGATTTTGCCCATCACTAAGGGATTGCTTAATAGCTAAGTTAATTGCTTAATAAATAAAGTATAGTATAATTTGGGGAATACCAGAAGAGAAGCCCGGAGGCAGAGCAGCTTTCCCACGAAGCGGTGGCAGCAGACGTGCAGGCCGCTAGAAGAGGCTTGCCTGGCGGGAGTGATGGAGCCTGCCAGGTGGAGAAGAGCATGAGCCAGCCATCTTCTGACACTAGTGAGGATGGCGCCACCGCTGGTGGGGATGCTGTACGTCTAGAAGCAGTGAGAATGACACTAAGGCTCTCCCCCCAGCCCCCGACTTGTCCCTCAGGATCCTCAGTCATCCCCTCCACTGCTCCCTTCCAATATTTCTGCATCGTCTCCTGTCTTCTCTTTAAGAAACATCAAATTCCCTGTCTGAGACCGTCTTACCCATGCTTTTGTAACCATAAGTTGATGGCTCCCAAATGGACATCTCTAGTCTAGACTTCTCTTCTGAACTTCAGACTTGCCCAGCTGACTGCTTTCTCCCATCTCCACTTGGAGGTCTCAGAAGCGCCACCAATTCTTCATTTCCAAGAGCTCACGCATATCTTCCCAAATCTGGCTTTCTTCCAGTGTTCCCTCTCTCGGGAATGGCATCTCCATCCAACTGCCCAAGCTATAAACCTGAGAGTCATTTTTAACATCCCCTTTTCCTCATTTTCCCATATCCAATTCTCCCAAATATCCCTTAGATCTGGCCCTTGCATCTTTACTGCTCACTCTAACCCAGGTTACCAATGGCTATGTCAGCCTCTTAACTGGTCTAACCACATTTTTTCTGCTCAGCCATCCTCTCAACATTGCAGCCAAACTTTTTTTTTTTTAACCTGAAATCTGATTTTGTCACCTGCTTAAACCCTTTAATAACTTTCTATTACTTTAGAAATCGAACAAAATCTCTAGCATGGCCTTCGGGGTCCTCCATGGTCTCATCTTGTCTGCTTTCCTCCATTCTCACTTTGTACCATGCACCTTCTAG